TGTTCCACAGAAAAGTCCTGGGGCGAAAGGAGTCTTGTTGAATGTGTCATGCTACATACATGCCTACGCCTCGGCAACATTGAAGCTTGAAACATGTTTCCATTTCGCGCGGAAAGAAAGAGACCCCCATGCAACCAACTCCGACGGAGAAATATGTATTGTTGTGTTTTCTTGGGGGCGATTTGTCGGTGCTGCACTGCAGCAGGCCCCGGTTCTTGCAGACACCCGCACCACGCGCGGACATACTCTCGTTTGGTGGAAATCGGCAGCACGTGCGTGTGATCGCGGCGCATTTGTTTGGTTCTCTTGTGATTTAAGGCGTGGATGGATGTGCTACCTCTGACGTCCATCCAAGATAGAAACAGGCTGGGGTCGGAAGAAAGAGCCTTCGTGTGGATGGATGTACGCTGCATACGATGCTGCATGGGATTTGCGCGTGTAGAAGAACAGCGAGAGGTTTCCGGACCGATTCATGGTACGGTACGGCCCCGAAGAACCTCGAGTTTTGAAAGCTTAAGAAACCAACCCCCAGATTATCTCAAGTTCTTCCTCCTGCTCTCAGCACACAACGATCAGTACATGAGGACATTCCAAACACCCTCCTCGACATTAATACGGCCAAAACGCAACAGGCGAGATCATGCAACCTCCATCCACAGCCCCCCCCCCCCCCCGGTGATGTGCGCCTGGTCCGGGGAGAACCCGGCGTGCTCCGTTCCGGCTTTGTAGGGATGCGAGATCAATGGTCTAACGACTACGACATTCTCGGCAATGAGTACCCCCTCCCCCCCTCTGCGAGATAAAGACTCGTTGGTTGCTCTGCTTCCGCGGAGCTGCGCTGCCGTTCTGTGTGTTCTCTAAAACCACGGGCTCCTTAGCTGCCCAGGGATGCACACCACGGGGCGCCCCAACCGCTACGGCTACTACGGCCGGCTGCCAACCCCCCCCCCCCCCCCCCCCACGAAAAACCGCCCGCCAGGTCATGTTTTCCCAAGAGGACGTACTCTAGTGGGAAGGCCGCGAAAAGACAACCACGACCCCCCCCTGTGGAGAATCCAACCGGGGTAAGGTCCCCTCCTACACAAAGCAACACCAAAGAATTTTTTTTTCATGGCAATCTGGGGAAGGGGGGGGGGGGTTGGGAGCCGGCGAGGAAAACGGATACGCACCTCCCATCAGGAGCCCCCCCCCCCGATTCTCTCTGAATACATAACGTTTTGTAAATGAGTGTTCCCGCTGAAAAAAAAGTAGGTTCCGCCCCGCTACATTGGCAACTACAGTGCTAAAGTGTTG